GGACGGATGGGTTTGGTCTTTGCTGGTCTGAGAGAAACACAACTCTATTCACATATCCATTCACAAAGAGCAGTGACCACACCTGCAAACTAAAGAGAAGTCAACAGAGGGACTTAAACGTTAGCAATTCATAGATCAACTAAGCATATCGGTGCACTTTTTTGATCAATGCAGTTAAAAAAAACGAATGTTTTTTTTGCAGAATTAAATCTTTTATTATTTATAAAGTTATAGATATTTAAGTAAAGTGCCCAGTTTTGAAGTACCAGCATGCATATAAGTGAAATTTTTCTTTTTTCCTTTGATTATTACAGATTTTGGGACTCATTTGGCAAACATTTCTACACTGGTTTGTTTCTGATCCAGCAAATGACCAACAGATCTACTTTTTTCATTAATGCAGTCCAAAATGATAATTAGAATTTTTTTTAAAGAGGGAAATTCAAGCATGTTTCCAGCACTTCCCAGCAGTGGCAGATGGTGCATTTCGAGAGTAGGGAAGCTGTTTATTATAAACCATAATAATTATGAATTTAACTCATTATATATTATTGGATGCTCATTGCAAGGTTTTGCCCATCCTCAAATCTTCAAATAAATAAGGCAAGATTCCAAGAAGGAAAAAATACAGTGATTAAGTGAGTAATCTGATATAAATTATTAGCACTTGAAAACAATTTGCTCCAAAAGCAACAGAAAAATTGTCGCAGTCAGAAAACAGAAAAATGTCAAATTTAATTTCCTCAGGAGCTCTATTAGAAACCACTTTGAAACTTGTCGACCTTTTTTGTACTTAAATACATTTTGACTTTAAAAGTACTCATCTCAAGTTTTAAATGTTTGCACAAATATATGCATATCCCATTTAAATGTTTACATATATATTAAGCATATGTAACATTTGAATTGTTTAAAATCTCATTAGCACCATAAACTAATACGAGGCTCAATAGATTTTAGAGCACTTGGGGTAAGTACATCACCAATCTCCTCTAAACTGCATGCTTCTTCAGAGTCTGTTAACTATTTCAAATAATTCATTACGAAACGCTTTAATACTAATTTGTGTAAATATGGATAAAGCTGTTCTTGTGCTGTTTTTATTCAATACCTTTCTTTCACAAAGCTTGGACAGCCTTCATTTTTCCAAGAGTTCCAGTTTTCTTCTGTGTTCAGGATGTGCTGTTGGAGATATAATGAATAGATTAAAGATGAAACGATAAAAGCTTTTAGAGCACTAGGCTGCAATTTCATTATGAGAGAGAAACTAAAATCCATACGCCTATAGCATGTACAGTATATGTATACAGATACTACCGACCTCAAACATCAACGCAAACTTGTCACCATCTGGAGGGGTTTCTCTCAGTAACTTGGGAAAAGTAATAAAACATGACATAACAGTGTTATTAACACATACCACACACCTCCAATCATTGATTCTAAAGGTTAAGACTAACCTGATAGACTAGTTTGGTCGTGTCCTCAATCCACAAAGACTGATCGTCATTCAAAACACAGCTGGAACTGCGAAGGTTAGAGAGAAATTGAGGTAAAAATATTTATTGACAAAAAGCAGGGCAACTTTACGGTTATCCTTACAGCTTGAAAAGTCTGCATTATGACTAAAATGATGCTAAATATGCTTGGCGTTTCCCCTGACCTCTTGAACTTGACCTGGCCCTTGAGATACTGGAAGAGGATGAGATACTGAAGCAGAATGTGTCGTCTGAAGTTGCTGTCACTCAATTGAAGGTCCATCAACTGCAGAAAGATGGGAAATTTGCCTTGTGTTACCAGATCAACGACTGGCGTGTACTAATAACAGTTTTATTCAGCAGTCGATTAATAAATACTGGAAGAACCAACTTTCTCACTGGTGAGGAACTTGGCAAAGTACACGTGGTCTCCAGCAGCAGTCCTCATTTCCTCCAGCTTTCTCTTTGAGGCTTGCATGTCATCCAGTTTGAAGCTCTTGAACACAGCTAGTGTCTCATCTGAATACTGCACAGAGAACACGATTGATGGGACATTAAAACAAGATACTTGTGGACCAAGAATGTCATTTTCAATTGATTCCAATCAGTTCTTCCTCACACAGGTGGCCAATCAAAGTAACCACAGATATATTGTAGTTCATCACATGCAAACTATGGACAACCGCAAAGTGTAAATGTACTTTGTCTGCTAAACTGAAATTGTACTATAAGAATCTTCATCAAAGTATGTTTTGCTCTATTGGTGGGTTGGTTATAACCAGAGATGCACATAAGATTTTTAGTCTGTTTCTCATGAGCACCTGGAGATTTGGTTTGGTGCTCACACTGCACATAGTGTG